ATTCTTATTTCATATGAAGACGCAGAATACGTGGAGACTCCGACCGAGAATGTAACAACAACACCTTCCCAGAATTCTACAGCTACGCCTGCACCGTCCCAGAATTCTACTGCTCAGCCAACACCGTCCCAGAATTCCACAGCTAGCCCTACACCTTCTCAGAACTCGACAGTTAAACCTCCAGGTCCTCAAGACAGTGGAGCAGCTGGTCATGTTGTTCCACTCACTGGCGGTCGACCAAGTCAATTTGCCGAAACTGGAAACACAAATTCGAAAAGAGGTTTGCCGTTAGTCCCTGAGAGGAACTCGCCATTGTGGTCTGTTAATGCTGATACTCGGTTGACTTTGCCACAGCCTCAGCAGTATGATGACATGGGAGGTAAGACGTAGCTATCCCTTGCTGGAACATTTTAATCTTGTAGACTCTAAACATGTGTAAACCCAACAATTCAGGAAACAGCTGAACTTCTCCCTCCCCACCATAATTTAAGAAAGTTACTTTCTCTTTCTGCAATGTAAACGTAACTTACTGCTTTGAGAAAGAGCAACCCTTGAAAGATCATCTTTCAAGTTGTTCCGTTAATGGCTAATTAATTCTACTTTAACGTTTTACTCATGTAAGGTGCGGTGAGGCGTCCTCTTGAAGACGGTACTTACTTCACTCCCGCCAAAACTAACGAGAAGTTTGATTACTACACCGAGCACTACTCACCAGATCCCTACGTAGCGGCCGCGCAGAGAGAAGAATGGATGAGTTCAAACAATGGTGGCTCTCCGTCACCAAGGCTTAGCCGGAAATCAAAGAAACCGGAAGTAAAGGAAGAAAAGGAAGTCGTTGAAGTGTTAAAGAAATCTGACGTAAAGCAAAGCAAGCATAAGCACAAGAATCCGAAACATTAAATGAAATGAAGTTCGGATCCATCCACTGGATTTCAACTTTACTGTCTTATTTCATCTATACAATTATTAGAGCAAGTCTTATCTAGTGGAATCACTTGAGAACTTGATGATTAAGGGGGTGGCGACTGGCTGCCGTAAACCCTGGTTGAAGAAAGAATCTCACTTTTCAGATGTAGTCTAGTATGACTGGGGTCAACTTTACAACTACTGTGCTCCTGACGCACCAGATGCGACAAGCTGTCAATTGTTTAAATTGTGACTCTTTTCAGATGGATTCAAGACCAACGAAACCGTGAAAGCAACCATCCCAAAAAATAAATATTCTGGAAATACTCGATCTTGAGTCATTTCTTATTATCACAGACAATATTTCCTTATCAAAAACCAATAGAAAAGTAGATCGTTTCAATTTTAATTGTCAATAAACCTAAATGACCTTAATGTGTCATAATTTGTTTTCACTCATCTATGTGATCTTTATTAACAGCAGGTTCGTTCATCTTGGTCGGCGATTCACTCAGTTCGGTGGAATGAGCACAGCTACGTCCACAGTTCTTAAACCTTATTATTTAATGTTCTGATAACTGAGCTTACAATTTTCAACCGATTTTCAAAATATGAGCGTAGTGAAACCATCAGAACATCCTGAGGGGTACGTTAGTCGTAGTCGTTAGTCGTTAGTTGTACGGTATCGATTTTTCAGGCAAGGCACCATACGTTCAATTAATCGATGTCGCTTATTTACAAGAAACAACCAAGTATGCTACTAGCAATTGTAATATGACTAGGAGTTGCGTAGCTCGAAAATATTTTTTTTTTTTGACTTCCCAAAATTTGCGATAATTTTGAAGAAAGACTATTGATTAGCGGAGATCTTCTTACACCTGCTAAATCGGTTGATCAGTAGCTTCTGGTGGCAAAGGTGTGTTTTTAAAAATGCGTTATCTTCACAGGAACCTGAAGTTGTGCAAAACTGTGTTCGTTTTATACTATGCTTCTGTTGTCTTCATGATGATTGATTATACATCTAAATGCTCATGGATTTCTATGATTTAATCGGACACTTTCAACCTTTTTTGGTAGTTGTGCAGACGAAGTCAAATATAATTCACAGAAAATTGCACTTTTAATGTGTTTTGGCCTCAGTTTCGTAAGAGTTCATTTGCAACGGAAAACAATTTCATTCTAATTTATAACGTTTTTACGCTGTAATTACACGCGAATTGTTCCTACTTTTGATGCATTCGTTTCCTTATTTTTGGACCACCTTTCTCCCGCTCGATGCTAATGAATTCATAAAATATTAATCGGTTCCCCTTCTTCAGAGAAACCTGAGACCAATTCAAAGAAAACAGTTTGTTTATTCATCGAATGCAGGTAAAAGCCTTGTTTTTTCCATTTGTAGTTATTGTTATTCACAGAGGGATCACATACGCTAACAACTTAAAACTTAACCGCACTCAAAAGCGCGTATAACAGCCCAAAGGGTAAGTGGTCTTAATTATTATCATAGTTAGGGATCATAAACTGTTAAGCCAAGCCCGCTAATTAGCAACAGGTAATCAAGTGGCGAACAAGTTGACACCAGATTGATAACTGGTTCAACAGTCCTTTCTGCCCTTGTCGTCTCCCCCAATAAACGATTGCTCTCATTTAACAATATAAACTGTCTCCGAGTTAAAATCAAGGAAAAGCCTGTGTTTATTGCCCGTCATTGATTTTCCACCAGTGATTGTTTTATTGACAGTATGGCAAAATTTTAAGATTATAGGCGGAAAACTGGAATTCCCGTGAAACCTATGTTAACAGTATATATCTGCGTGTCGCCTAACTATGTTGTCGTTATTAAACGTTAGTTTTGTTCTGCTGCAAGCAAGCAAATCGTCTGGAGAAAAGAAAAAAGAAATGGCCGCGCGGAAACTGGAGCTGAGACAGGAGATGTACAGAGAAGGACTGTGGACACAGCTAGTTGTATTCTCGTGGCCAATTCTTCTCGTGTTGTCGTGCGTGTTTCATTCTTCTTTCTCGCTGTTCCATTAAGAAATGACTATCTTGAGGAAAAATAAAACTCTGTGAATGCGGTTATACTCTCCTTGTGCCATTTTCTCCCCAGTATTTATGGTTATTTAAGCATGTGCATTGTCAATGACCGAAGAGCTGATTAAGTTGAAAACTTAGTTTTCTTCAACAGTTCTCTGTCTTCCATGAGCCCGTGATGATCTTTTCCACATTACTGTTCACATGCTGCGCATTACTTTCAAGAATAGGTAAGGAACACACTATTTCAGTTGTTCACTCTTTACGTTTACAAGACTGAGCGTCTAACGTACATTTTACTTCCGTTGGCGTTTGACCCCATTTTGTTTCCTAGATGGTACGCCGTTTCATGGACGAAGCAAACTCCTCCGTCGGTCATTTATCGGAGAAACCAAAGGTATTTAGCTTCCATCGCAGCCGCTATTTTTATCGTCACGCAACACAGTGACGACCCAAATGTCGGTTTCGAAATTACGAGCAAATATGATTACGAAACATAAAGCAATGACAATTCAAGTGGCTTCAAAGCCAGTTACGCACTTAATCACGCGGTGGCAATAGGAAACTATGGCGTCTCGCGTGTTACAGATGTCGTCATACAGTCGAACCTTAAACATACGGCCACTTCGAGGCAAACTTAATCGAGCATTCTACACAGGAGGCTTTTGAAAGGAAGTTTCTATAAGAGTTTATCATGTTGATCAGCGCTCGTCGAGATAAAGCACTTGGCTGTTATAAGTAGAAGGCTGTAACTGTCAAATGGGTTTTAAACACCATGTTGAGGCTTGATTACCCTCAACCCTTATACGTTCACTATACTTTCCAAGGTTGTGATCGAGATTGCCAGAAAGAATGCATTGCTGTCCACAACAAATACCGAGCTAACCATGACGCGCCTCCGCTGGTTTTTGATCAGAAGTTGGCGGATGAAGCACAAGCGTTGATTGACAAGGGTGTCTTCAAGCATTCTGATTGGGTGGAGCTGAAAAATAACGGCGCTGCATTTGCTTGGGGTTCTCTTTTCCCAACATTCACTGCGGTCATCAAAAATTGGCACGACGAAGGAGCTTATTACGACTATCAGACTGGAGCACCAAAGAAGCAATCACAGGTATAACAGAATAAAAACGGTAATTAAACAAACAAAGTTGAGTTGATCGATGTTTATGTTTAGACAAAAATTGTCTTGCTTAAGGGAATAATGTTGTTTATAGTGGTCAATGCGGTTAGCCACACTCAGCTAGTTCACAGGCATGCCAATTAAACTGAAAAAAAAAATGCTTCAACTAAAAATAATAGGCTTAAAAATCCCAGTTTTTGTTAGTTATTAACAATATATCATTTCAGGTGGTGGATCATTTTATGCAGATGGTGTATAAGAAAGCTCACAGGATCGGCTGCGCACGAGGTGGATTGTACGGTGAACCTTGGTACGTGGTTCATTACGACAAAGCCCCAACTCCCGGACAGCCAAGCATTACAATGAATATCAACAAACCGAAACAGGTAACAGAGTAATAGAAACATCAACAGTTGTTGATAACATGTTTTGGTTCGATTGTATAAACGTAGGCTCCATTTAGTGCAAAAATAGGCTCGGATGTTTGTCCGAGGACATTCGGCTGTTCCGAGAGGCGAACAGTCTTCTGAGAGCGTAGCTCGAGGAAAATTGTGAGCTATATTTTCGCACTAAATTGGGGCCATTGTGTTAGTATCCTTCAAAATTTTTCGCAACACGCACAATTTTGAAAATTGGGGAATTTCCGAATATGATTCGGATATTTCCCAGTTTTTGCTGGGGCATCTTCAGTCACGTTACGCGACCTCAGACCAATATGGCGCTAGCGAAATATTTGCTGATAAGACCGTATATTTTAAACTACAAGAGAGAATAGTTAAGGTTCTTATTGTATTGTTTTATACAGTTAAGAACTGTTAAAGTAAAGTACGGACACAGTTTAACGTTTCATACGGCTGATGTTTTAAGTATTAAACTTTCTTGAATTGCAAATAGAATTGCTCTGCCGCGTAAGATTCGAACACAAAATAGTAAGTCATCTAAGTAACTAATCCTTCGATCCCGTCTTATGAACTTTCTGTTTTATTTATTTCAATTGTTTTCATACAACAGGATGACAGTGAATGGTTCAAAGATGGTTCACCGTTTTCTGAAGAGCTGAAAAACATGCAGGAAGTTTAGAGTCAAATTGCACCATGAGGGAAAGAAGCAAGCAAGTTGTATACTTGCAGTCAGAGTCTACACCAGTGTATTTCAAATATAACCCACAAGCAAGAGAATGTATAGCCGCTCATCTCTGTTGAAATTAATATACTGTAATTACACTTTGAAATAAAATTATTTTCTAACTCAGTTAAGATGTGCAATATCTTTCTTTATGTCAGACAAAGTCATTTAAGTACTTTCCCGCGCAATCTTGTTAAGCAACGTAACCGCCTCAAACATCCTACTGATTACCCGCAGCAATCATTAAATCCAAACGGGTGAAAGAAGTAAATCCTTAGGTATCAAGAAATGGTCCACTGTACCGGCTCAACATTTCCCATTGAATATCACACAATAGTGCTTTTGTTAGCAGTAGCGTTGAGGGACTTTTGCCAAAGCTAAGCGCAAAAGCTCGTAATCATCCGAAAGCATTGTACGCACAACAAAGTAGCTGCACTAGGGAAGTGGGTAGTGATAATTTGCAATGGTAATATCAGTTTCCGCTAGTGCACCCCAAGGAAAAATTAAAAAAGCGATTTTCCCCACGATTTTTCAAGTGATGATTAAATTTCTTGGAAGAGTGACATGGGCACGATTTCCAATGCTCTCTCGAGTTCGGTCACGCCGGTTTCAGGAGCGCGGCTCCTTTTTGGAACAGCAGCCAGTAATCGAGCTCACGTCATATTCAATGGACAATCTGACGTACAAACTACTTTCGACATCACACTAGAATGTTTTCATGTTTTAGCAGCGCTACACATCTTGATATATACAATTCAGGTTTTGGATCAGAGTATTCGATGTTCGATGTTCTGAGGAATGAAGTTCTTAGTCTGCATCTCTTTCCAATATGGCGAACTGTCCATGAACCACATCAGATCCGGCTAGTGAATAAAGAAAGATTATTTTCTTGTGTTAGTGATTGGAACGATCCTTTCCACATTACAGCAACCAAACTTTTTATGTTAGTTCAAAGATACATGTAAAAACCTAGAAGTACCATGTCTATTACTCTGCTTTTTAATGTCATATCGAGACTTTGTTTCCTTCTGAAGATATTTGTTTCTTATTACTCGACGCTTATAATCTTTTGAGGTAAGTTAAAAGTCCTCGGGTCATACATTATATTAAATTGTAGCAGTTTATAGTGAAAAAGTGAAATGTTTTACAGAGAAGTCACACACGGTGATTTTATGTGGCCCTGATGAAGAAAGAAAATTTCACTGTCTGGTTTGCCGAATCACTATAAAAGATAGTTTCAAACATTTTGGCTTTTTTAGTCTGTCTACTGAGTTTCAAGGTCGCCCCCTCCCCTAAGGTTGAAAAACTGCAGTGTACCTCTTTTGGTTCACCCACGTTGGACTTGTCATAACCTGGTACACCCGCTATGACTCCTGGTGTATCCATTTGTGCAATGTAATATGGTTCTCCATTGATAAAAGTTTTGCCGCAACCGAGCAAATGTGCGCCCTTCCAAACCACCTGCAAATAGAAAAACTTAAAATGAACTTGCATGGCTGACCGCAAACTTTCTTTAACTAAGGACACCCTGGAAAGTTGAAACAAGAGCTACTTTATTTCCAAGCGAGTGACAGTGATTGCATCCAACTGTGACAATTTATACTAGAACTAAAAAAAAAATGGGTAGGGAGAACCTTGTTTTTAACCAGACCTGAGTGAAGTGATTGACCTTCATGTCTCCATTGCCAGTGCCAGTTGACCAATCATAATCTCTCTCCTCGTCATGCCAGGCTTTTACGGCCGCAGTGAACGTCGGGTAAAGGCTACCGAGCGCAATTGACTCCCCACCCTGCCCACCTGCCCAGGGAGAATGTTTAAACACTTTCTTATCCGCCCACCGCTGTGCCTGGTCTGCTAATTCCTGGTCCAGTAGTAGGGGCGATGCGCCGTGATTCAAACGGTACCTGTTATGAGCCGCCAGACATTCCCGCTGACATGAAGTGTCGCAACCTCTAAAGAATAAATACAGACGCTGTAAACCAAATTTAACAGCACAATAAAAAATAATACAAAATGTCATAGAATAAATTTATGACTGTGTGAGTACTTTGCCATTGAAGAATTACTAGCTTCTTTTAGCTTTCAATCAAAGCCTCCTAAGCCCGGCAACTCGTGTATGCCACTTGAATAGAAATAGCAGTATGCTGATTTATTCTACACAAGGTCTCCTATTGAAGTGCCTCGCGTGTTGTAAAAAGACTCGCCCATCTCAAGAGTAAAACGATAAAATTAGTGAACACTTTGTTCAGTTACTTTCTTAACAATCATTCCTTACCAGTTGTTGATACAGGCTTTTGTGCAGCGTTGCTCGCAGAGGAAATATCAAGCACTAAGTGAAATAAGTAAGAACTTTAACATGGTAACATAGTATGCCATATAGAGGAAGTCAAGCGTCCTCAACCGCATGCTGTTGCCAGAGCTTATTTTTGGATTTAAACTGAAAATAACTGACACCATCAGGAATTGTATTGTGCGTTATTATAAACTAACATCGAAACAAATCACTTTACTCTGCGTATAATGTTCCTCTAGATCAGCCCTCTTTTTGAGAACTGGACGAATCATTATGAAATCTTGTCCGAGAAATATTCTTCCAAAAAAATTGAAGAAGGAAACTTATAGTGAAGCTGAAAACACAAAAATACCTATAGTGGTTTCTCACCTTGGTTGCTTATGGTCTCTCTAGTTTTTGCTTGTTGTGTTTTGACCTTTTCTTTGCAGAGTCGTTCTTTGCATCCTGCGCTACTTTTTGCCACGGCACTTATCTGTAAAGGAACTTGCAGTCTGTGTTGTAGAGCGGTTATACCATCCTGAATCATTTTGTCTTCTTCTGAAACGAGTTTTTGGCTCGCGACCTTCTCGTTGTTAGAATATGCGGCCAATTGAGGGCTTGATGCACTTAAAGAAGTCGCAACATTTTGAATTGGTGCTTTTATAAAGTTGTTGATATTTTTGGTTACGCCCTGGAAACTGAGTGCTTTAAGACCTGGTAAAGCAGTTTTGTTATTTTTGATAATCGTAAAAGCACTTGATTTAAGTATTGTATGGTTGAGATTCTTAGAGCTAGCAACTCCTTGGTTTTCATCCTGGTTCTTTGTAGGCAAACTCACATTGTTATCAAGTGGTCTTTCGCCATCAAAAGTTTGGGTTGATGAGCCATTTGCTTTTGTTGCATTCTTTACACTGTTGAGGTCCGCGTTTGTACTAAATATTGACCCTCCAAATGGTTTGAAAACCTTGACACTCGACGATGTTGGAAGGTTGTGAATGTTCTGTAGAAGTGACACCTTTGGTTTTAATGGTGAAATGTTAATCGTTTGTACGCCCCAAGACGGATTAAATTTGGCTGGATTATTTAGTTTGAAGCTTAGATTAGGCATCGGCAGTGTTGATGTAAATGGTTTTGACAGCATCGGAACTTGTACTTCATCGTTGTTCTTATCGTCTAATTCTGGCCCAGCATGCGATGTTTCCGGCGAAGGTTGGAGTGTCGCAGAATACCTCGACTTTGCTTTCCTTGTCCCTGGAACTAAAAAGAAGTCCCGAACATCGATTAGGACTATCCGCACCACATCAAAAGTGTTTGAAATAAGTTCTAAATACTTTTTTAGACTTAATGCCACGTAAACTAGAATAAGCTGCGGCTGTGTTAGCCACCTTGACCACTAAATTGCAACCATAACTATATTGAGGTCACAGTGGTTTTTGTGTCGGTCTCGAAACCCAAACACTGTTATTCTCGAGCTACTTTATCTCTTATGTTGCCTCTCTCTGATCTACCAAGTAGTACGTGGTATCCCTTTCAATTTGTCCCCATCAAGTGTACCCATCACGGACGCACCAGCTATAAGTAGGACCATTTACGTCCACTCCCTATCGCAGTCAATCTGCTAGGAAACGTGGCGTATACATTATGGATTGGCAAACCCACGATTGACTTATCTCCCATCTCTTAACCTCCTAATACTACACAGGCCGAATACAAGCACCGGTTTGTGCAAGGCACCTCACTCACCACAGAAACCGCATGTTTTTCTACAGACTACTTGCATTTCCTTTTGTCTTTTTTCACAATAGCCTTGAGCCTGCCATCTTGGACAACTAAATTCATAACTAGGTGCGTCTTCGCAGGGTTCTGGAAAGAAAGGAGAAAACATTCGCAAAGGAGGACATGTTAGTCGTGGATGAAAAGATGGTGGTAGACAACGAACAGTCCTTCTTTACCATAAGGAATTGTTGATGAATGAACATCTTTTAAAATCCAGTTTAGTGGCTGTCTTCAGTTTGCTTTAGTATTCTTTTCTTTTCCCGAAAGCTCACCCTTGAGTTGGTTTCTCTTATGGGTCTTTGAGGTATCAGTACAGGGAAAGATTGAAAGGTGCTACGTTTGAATCTCAATCTTATCTTGCTTCTTTTTTTGGCTGATTATGGTATTCAGAGCTTTGCTACCTTGAAAAACTCAGTACTGTAATATCTAAACTAAACGGTAACTCGCCACGACTTTATAAATCGTGACGTAGCTCCTTTAAATGAACTTACCATCTCGGGATAAAATGTGAGTCTGCATATGATTTGCACTTTGTTTGATGACGGAAGGAAGACCTGAAGCCGGAAAGTTATGAAACTCAATGTTACACGTCAGTTCTAGAAACTCGTAGACCATTTCCTCGTTTCTGTTAGTGTATTAGGTAAAAGTACTTATACGAAATTGATATATTTTGATATTCAAGCAAAGCAACCTCCCAGAGAGAATCAGGATCGAGCAAAAATATTGTTAACAACGCCTATTAATCTCAACAATGTAGCCAATTTAGGGTTTAGTGAGACCAGCTTGAACAATCTCTCCTTTCTCAAGCGAGAACCCCCAAACCGTCAAAATTATGCGTGTTCGTTCAATTCGTGCGATGATTTTAGTCGCAAAAACGCGCAATCACCAAACATCGGTGCGACAAAAATTATCCAACAAGCATCTTACAAGGCACAATCAGCATCCAGGTCTTCGCTGGCTAAGCTGATAATCTATTTTAACACGACACTCTGTCGACGATTGACAATCAGGACCACATATCATAAAGATGTGAAGCCAAGAAATTTTCTATCTTTTCTACCAACAGACCCTTACCGCAATATCCGCAGGTAGCTTTGCAGTGTCTTTTCATAAACTCTGCGTACGCTATACCTTTGCAGTGTCCATGGTGAGCCCACAGACGGCACTGTAAAGTGTCATCGTGGCATTCTAAAATAAAAGAGCAAAAACCTCTATGACTCCTTCTACCCAAGTCATTTTCACCCAAAGAACAAAGATAGAAGAACAAAGGAATTTTGTTTACCAAGTTGAACTTGAAAATAATATCACTGCATGAGAATTATTTTTTCCTTAAAACTTTTAGGTTTTATCTCTTTTTGTAATTTTGATCGCTTGGATACTGAATTCGATTTATTTTATCGCCAATTTCTTCTTATTTTATTACTGTATTCTCAGAGTTTGTCTATGTATTTAAGGTACCTTCATCGTTCATTTTATGTGCCATATCATCGGTCGAGGCCAGTGTTGACTGAGACCCAGGTACCTGAGCATTCGATGACGTCCCTTTTGATTTCATGTCACTAACATGAAAAACAAGCTTAATGGGACGACTGCTAGTACTCGGCAACGTAATCAGAGCTGGTGAAGACACGTGATGCACATCAGCTGTAGCAGAATCGCTAGCTGTGATGGTGTTCCCAATGGGGGATTGAATAGCAGCATTCGTCCCAATTGCTTGTCCATTTGGCGACAAGCCGTTCGATACAAGAGTCGAATCTTCATGTTTTAGACCTCCAGAAGTAGCATTGACTGAAAGTTTATTCAATGCTTGTGATTCGGACTGCTGTGACTGTACATTTGCAGCTTCCAACTGAGAGACATGTGGGGTTTTCAACTCAGGAGTTATAGACGCTCCTGGCACTATCATGTCTGTAAGTGTAAGTCGTGACTGTGAATTTGGCATCATAGCTGTTCTGTCAATCTCTTGCTGACTAGGCTTTGCTGCATTTTGAGAACTCAATGCCGTTGAACTGGAATTCAGGTTTTCACCTATCATTCCATCGTGAAAGCTTGTGTTGTTCAAGTCTGTTGCAACTACGCTACCTGTTGAGTCTAATTGTTGGATTGTGATAATTTGATTTGCCATTTGTTCGCTTTGCGACGGTGAATTAGTTGATTTTTCCATATCTTCAGTTGGTTTATCTTCTTTCTGTTCATCAATTCCTTGGTGAATGTTCAACGGTGACTGATTGTTCACTCCATTGCCAGGAAGAGAAGAACTCGATATATCTTCAGATGAACCGTTTATTGCAATGAATTTTCTTGTATCATTTGGATTGTTACTGAGTGCTATGCCTGTTGCATAAAATGAATCAGGCTTTTTTCGTTGCTGCTTTTCAGTGCTGGTAGTACTCGCGAGAGATTGATTTGAATTTGCAAAGAGTTGTGAAGAGTTCTTTGTTATGTCATTTGACAGTCCGATAATTGGTCCATTTAAAGTTGCAGATGGCGCACCTTCAGACATGTTACTTCCTGAAGATTCTTCGTCTTCTTCCGCTTCATGATTCTGAATCATGTCATCTTCCTGTTTCATCAGAGACTGGATGTTAGCGGCCTGTTCCCTCTCGTCACCTTCACTAAGCTCCTCGCCGTCGTTTCCCTCCGAAGGAAGAGTTGCATGGTCATCGACTTCATCCTTTGTCAACATGTCGTCGTCCTGAATCACCTGCGACTGGAACCTCGTCGCGTCTTTTCTATCTTCCTCATCCTCTTCCCCAACTGGATAGGACGATACTGCGTTATTGGGTGACATTTGGTTTGTGTTGGCCTTATCCCTACCCAGCTGTATGAGGGTTTCTGCACCTTTCTGCCAGTTAGCATTCTCCTCAGCTCCAGACACTACGTGGTAACTGGCTGTTTCTTTGTTTTCGTCTAGCACAACGTTGTTAAGGCTATCATTATACAGGTATTGTTTCAGCAGAGCATTGTTGTTTAAAACTCTTTGTTCCTCTCGTACTTCATTTAAATCACGGAAACTAGTTGGTTTACTTTGTTCACTTCGAGTCTTTCCTGTACTTAGTGCTACTGGTGCTAAAGGTTCCACATGGGTCCTAGCGGAGGAATCTTCGTCCTGTGCTTTCAAAGAAACCAGGTAGGTGGAGTTGGATTTAGAGGATTGTCTCGCGGGCTCAAACCAGTGTAGATCCTCCTGAAAGGGATAATATTAAAGAAACTTTGTTAGAAACTTTAATTGGGTAGTTTTTTAAGAAGTTGTCAATCTTGTGATTATGCTGTGGTAATGTTTGCGTTTTTTTCGTTTAAAAAATTCTATGCTGGACAAGACCAGGACGAGTGGAGCAAACGGTCATGGAACCCTTGTCAAAGCGCCACGGGAAGTTATCTTTTACTAGCTAGTTTTCCACAGCGAGATCGAAAGCCGCTTTGCATCCTAAACTACACCAAGTTTATGAGCACACGTGCAATCTCTATTATATCACGATACATGAAAGTACCACGACATTGTGTTGTCACTCTTTCCAACCTACCTTCTCCGGAAATCCAATACTTGCTGTACTAGTCTGCGTATTAGGACTGACAACACCATCGGAATCCATCCACACTACGTAATATTTTGAGCCGAAGATTTCGCTTTGTCCGCAGCCGGCCTTCCTAGCTTTTTTCCATACGATTTGTGTGAAATCGTGGAGAGTTTTTCCCGTCTTTGATCTCCCTGAACCAAAGTCAAAATCTCTCTCCTTGTCATGCCAATGTTTTATCACAGTTGTAAAGTTCTGAAGCTCATCCTTGACATCCCATTCGATCAGCTGCCCGTATTTCCCGCGGAATTTCATATCGTATCCAAATCTTCCACCGTCCGCCCATTTCTGGGCCTTATTAGCAAGAAAATGGGAGAACGTGACTTTCTTTGCGTGATGGTTCAAACGATATTTGTTGATGACTTCAATGCACTCTTTTTGGCAAACTGGATCACAACCTGTGGAAAAGAGCTTTAATTTATTTCGAAGAGCATTCCAATATTTAAGACGCTGCTACACAAGATATTTTCTCGCAAAATCCTCTTTTGGTTCGCACAAACTTCTATCATTAACGTGATTACTGTGATTTCCTCGTTATAAAGACTTAAGCGCCATTTGAAACTACATTTGTGTTCAATCGTTGCAGATGGAGCGGTGTCTCAGGCTGAATCAGGAAAACCACTCAGAAAGTGCACAGAAAACTTCACCTGGCCTGTTACAAGAATGGGAAAAGTACCAGATGGCCTTATTTTTGAGTGGGCTGCTTATAAAATGCTTTCCTATAATGTCAGGCTTTTTAATAGTTCATTAGAAAATAGTAGATTATTAATTATACTAAGTGTCCCCAATTAGTAGAGGTTTTTTTTCCCCCATCGGCTAGATATAAAGACAATTTTATGTTTTATGTTTCAGAGGTATTAAAGACCCTTTGTAAAGGAGAAAACGACCACAAGTTGATCCAAATGGCCCGTATTCTAATATCAAAACAAAGAATTAACCCTTAAACGGCGTATAGAGGTCGATCATTTACAAGATAGGTAGTGTGTATCCATTACCCATTGATTGTAATTATCACAATCAGCAACTGTAATTGGTGGAAAACAGTCTAAGCGCTTGAAAAGGGGGTGTCATAACAATCAGTTTTGTCCTCAATTCTTCATTAAACAATTAACTCGTTGGTGTTTATCAGTTGCTTGTCAAGTTCTTTCGGAGTCTTTCCTTATGATCTTCCAAGCAAAAGCAGGAACACGTGAGCCATGCCCCGAATAAATTCAGTCTGGGTCATTTGTTCACATTTCCTGTCCTTCGACCATTTCGCCACTATAATTAACAAAACCTCAAGTTCCCCCTAAACTTGTTGATTATTGTTAATCCTTTAAGAGACTCAGGCACCACACTATTGTTCTATCACTTACAGGTGAGTTTCTCACCTAATGAGTCTAACAATCCAAGAATGGATGAAGCTGGTACACCGTAATTAAATCTAATGCGGCCATGACTCGTTCTACCTTGTTGTTTGGCTTCCCCACTGCCTTTGTAATAACGAGTTAAATTAAAACAAAACAGTAAAGAATAAGAACGATAACAAGGATTCTATTTTGTTATGAATAGCAATTTGTCACAGTTACCTGCCGTGCACTGCTTTATCAACAGAAAAATTAAGGTGGAAGCGAAGATTGTTAAAATCATGTCTCCTTGTAAACCATCCAGCTAACATTCTAAACCTGTGCATAGAAACGAGGGGAATTAGGAAAATATTATTATAGAAATCTTTCAATTTCGTTAATTTTTCTTGGTCTGCAAGCAAATGTTATGGATTTAGAGAACAAACATTTCTCAGTAATTATAACCAGTTAGTTGAAAATGTTTTGACTGCATCACCAGACACCTAAGTCTTACCATCATTTCGTTTGTTTCTTTAACATTCTGTGTCCAGTACAGTATTTTGCCTTCTAGCGAAGCGAAGACATCATTTTTCACTGATTATGAAAACTTTAAGCCAGTTTAACTTAACAAAACTGAAAAGATCTTTTTACACTTCAGGAAAAACTTCACTTTTCAGGTCAGTGAATGTCAGTCATTATTAATTTACAAATAACAGGTCAGGCCCTGAAAGGGTTTCATAGCTGTGTTGATAAGCCAGTCACTAACTAGGTGATAAGTGCTAGGTTTCCCAACTGATAGGTCTTTTCACGCTATTATAATTCACGCTTAAATTGTTATCGCTTCATTAAGAAATACCGTTCACAGCAAATAGTTTTGGAGGTAGTGGCTGATTACTCAGTCCCTACCAACTAAAGGATAAGCAAAAAAGACAAATAAGTTTTCCCCTCTCTCTTCAGTCGGATTTATTTTTTACAGCTCAGCGCAAATGGAATATTAGTTCCACTTCACGCTTGACGGATCGGCGTGATCCTTGCGATTTCTCTTTAAACGAAACGCTGTTTTGTGACTGGTCGAATTTATCTGTTACCCATATAAAACAATGCACTTTTTTTTCTTTTGGCTCCCACGCGCCAATCATGCAAACCAGCTGATTTTTGTAGTCTATATTAGTACATTTTTTATAACAGTTCGTAGCTGACAATGATCCGCATGTAAATAAAGATAAGCAAAACAAAGATATTGTAGCAGCATATGTATCATGTAATGCAGGACTACTTACAAGTTTTCTGTAGAGAGAATTCCGTACCTTATAATGAACAATTATTCCACGAGCGCGCGTTGGATATGATCTGATAGATAGCTAACGAGGCGCGTAGCACCGAATTGGCTACAATCATCTCATATCCAACAAGCGCCAGTGGAATAATTGTTTTATTAAAAACACCCCCAAAATATACAAAACTAAAATAAAAATAAATACGCCCCAAAAAGTCATGCGTACGCTTACCATATTTGTGGCTCATAACCCATTATGACTAAGCCAATGAAAACTCTTGAATTGCATTATCCAATGATCCAGTTTTTAATAATTAGTAAATAAACCCCTTCTGGCGCCTGGTATGTCGGCTGATAATGTCCGCGGCTGAGATATTGTCCGAAAAATGAATATTTG